GTTCAATATCTTCCCAGTGCTCCTGGCAGTTGCAGCATAGGCTGAGCTGGTCTGTACTGGGAGAGGTGGGGGCAGGTAGGGAACCAGAAAGGCACTGCAGTAGTTGCAGAGCAGGCAGGAGCATGACCACATCTGTAGCATTTCATCCAGCTCAGTCACCTCTGCTTGAGGTTTCCCTTTTGACTTTCTTTTGGACTTTGCTTGTCTAAGCCACTGAACTGTGTTGCCGAGGTACCTGCATTTTAGGTGGCACTACACTGAGTGAAGTGGAAAGGAAGCAGATGAGCTCTGAAATCATGTTCCATCAAAACCACTGTGATTTTATGTATTTGTGTCGGATGTGCTTGGATGCAAGGACTCTGTTCAAGTGGTAAGAGTACAATAAGACTTTGCAGTTCAGGGACTCAACACCAGACTGCTGCACTTCTCAAAGTGCTGATTACTCTTTCCCAGCAGTGCTGATACACATGTTACAAAGCTGCCTTGTTAATACATGCTTCAAATCTAAAATGAGCAATGAAACAGTCCCTCCCAAAATGTATGTGCCATTCCTGAAGTATGTATGCTGAGGCCAGGAGAGCACCAAACATGCTTTAATTAGAGCTCTGAGTGACACTACTGGCAGAGGTGTAAGACCACTGCATTTTGTGGTTTGAGCTGCCAGGAAATTAAAACATTTGTGGGTCTTTCATGCAGTCTTTCTCCCCCAGAGTGTTAAAGTTAGATGACTTTCAGCACGGTGATGCAGACTGTAAAGGTTCAGAGAATTACCTTGGTGGTATGACAGCCTCTTCCATTTCAACTACAATCCAAGGCTCATCTTTCCTCTGAGGCATTCATTGAAATTCTGTGCACGATATGTTCCTCTGGTTGTTTAACAATGTCTCTCATGTTTGCCCTGATTTAAAAAATCCTCCTTTGTAGCAGAGATAACATAGAGCAGGATGATATAATTGCAGTAAAGAGGCCCTGGAGCTTGCAGTAATAGGATGGTTCATCTGATGTGTACTGCCATTAGGAAATAACCCACGTATGTATGTTCTCAGGGGACAGTAAAGAGGCTTTTAAGGATTACTCTGTATGTAGTATGAAAGCTAATGAGTAAAAGAGCAAGTGCAAATAAAACTATTGCTACGTAAGCATGGTACCACTTCCAGTTCTCACTTATTTCCTTACACCTCTGTAGCTCCAAAACATCCATCTCTGCCCAGTGATGTGTAGTTTTTCATGCACTGCAGTCGGTTTGAGACTTTTGCAGACTTTTGAGAATACTGTATTATTTTCATTTCACTGAAAAGTGAAAAGCAAGGCAGAGCTAAGTTGAGGATTGAAACTGCTGTGTGTGTACAAAATAAGTAATTTTGAGGGAATAGCACTCTGAAATGGTCTGTGCCCTAAAAAAAAAAAAAAAAAAAAAAAAAGTAGATTTTGCTAGAATAATACAGTTTCACAAGCATTGGTGGAAGGTTGATACTAGCCTCAATTCTCTGACCTTCATTCTTTTTCCTGGCCAGTGTGCAGAAACATACGAAGACATAACACAGTTAATACTGAAGGACTTGTTTCAAATGTTACATGTAGAATTTGGGCTGTGGTAGTAGGAGATCAAGAGCATCTAGTTTCTGATATTAACAACTTTTTGTCCAAATGGATTGCCATATAGCATGACAGTTGTTCCACTTGCATTTGTACTGAAGTAGAAGCCATTAAGCACAACAGACATTGGCTTCTTTGTTTTGTCACAGCATTTTTTCTCTTGCTTATAGAGCTTGTTATAGATAAAAAAATAATTCACCTTTTAATACTCTGTACTCCCTTTGTACTGTTAGAATATATTTTTGTACCTTGTCAGATTTTTGTGTTCGATAGAATGTATGAACTTGGATTTTTCTTTATATATTTAACATAGTAAAGGATCAAGCTTTGCTGTCAGGTAAAATGAAGTGGCCTTACCTGAGCTGTAGAACCTTGCAGAGGACATGGGATTTTGACTAAATGCTGTACTGGGGTTGTGCAGCAAGGTCTGACATCCATAACTTCATTTCATTCCAGCGGGTACTGATGATAAAAAAGAAGTCCATGAATATTAAGTAAGGAAGAGATGACAGCCAGCATTGTTGCAGGAATACACGCAGGGCAGTAACCTTAAACATCCCTGTTTCTACCCACAAGTCAAGGGAGTAAGTAGACAAGAGTACCTCCTTCCGGACCAAAGAAGTGACTTATTTTCCCTTGAAGTCTAGGAGGATTCAGGATACAACCTCTTTGCTTCTATCTTATCAAATTGGAAGTATGTTAGAGTGCACGTGAGGTATTTTTCTCTTTGTGTTGATGCTTTTCTGTGTGGTCAGAGAATTGCAAAGGGCTCACAGAGGGAGTAGAAAAAAGGTCTCACTTTTAGGGGTGCAAGCAGTACTCTACATGTGGGGACAGGGGTAAAGAGTGCCCATGCCCTATGCACAGGAGAAATTCCTGAAGTCCTTGAAAGGTAATAAGATTGTTAAAATAATAATCCATAGCTTAATAAACCTCAGGTCTTAAGCCCGTCTTCTTTTCGTATTCCTGCACCTAAAACGTGGTTATGTCATGTACTAAGGAGTGTTTGATAATGCAGAGGAGATTTTCAGGGTGGAGAGTGTTTGTGTGTGCATGTATCATTGGAACTAGATGATCCTTAAGGTCCCTTCCAGCCAAAGCCATTCTGTGTTTTTGTAATACCCCTGTGAGATCATGCCCACATGTTTGTCATAAGTGTAGCTCCTTCAACATTTCCATAAGTTTTTGTTTCAGTTTGATACCCATGTCTATATAGGGTAATACATTTGTCGTATTTGGAGAATGTGAAACACACAACTGAGGGGAAGGGAGAGCTGCGTATTCAAACATACAGCAGAGCATTAGCAGTAGTCTGACTAAACTAATGATAATGCAATCATATTTACTAGACATACCGGAAGAGTTTTCTACTTGACCCGAGTGGTGTCTGTCTGTCTCTGCAGAGTACCAGTCCACCGCCCTGCGCTGGTGCATCACGATCCAATTCTCTGAGCCCAAATCCAGTGTTCAATTATATTCCCCAAATGTGTCACTTGATCCCTGGTCCACCATCCGTCTGTCGCTCTTTACACATCTGGGACTTACTTTAACAACTGCAAGTGACGTGAGATGAATTATCTCTTGCTGCTTCTGCTGTCAATTGACACCTCTCTATTAAACTTCCAGTCTTGCAAATACCAAAATAGTAGTGCTAAATTTTTTATTTCAGTCCTTTTTCCCTCCCCCCTATAATTGGTATACTGGAGCAGAAGAGGACTTGCAATTTTATTATTGCTGTATAAGCCTTCTGTAAACTCAGTTACAGCACTTCTGATGTTGGTAATTTTTCTGACTAAAAAAATATGCTGACACTGTGTTTGGGCATAGGAAAAGAGTAAATTTGAATGTATAATAATCTGGTGAATCTGGGAGGTGTTTGATGCTATATCCCAGCCAAGTTAATCACCCATGGGATTTTTTTTTTTTATTTGCTCAGTTGACTGGAGACATTAATCTCATATCTGTAGAAAGGCATCTTTAATGCCAAAAACTTGATCATAAATACCCAACATTTCTCTGGCATAGAAAAGATTTTGAAGGAAAGCCATCAGCTGACAATAGAGCAGCAGAAACAGAGACGTTGTTACTTTATTTTTCTTACATAATGAAGAAATGCCCAGATGATGATTTTCAATTCATGAAGTATATCGAATCATGTATCATATTCATGAATATAAATTGAGCAGACGTGACACGCATTTTTCATATAAAGATGACATAGAGTACTCCTTCTGGTAGTTCTTTGTCTGAAATATGCTTATTCTAAGAACATCACTACAGAGTTAATAGTGCACTGCATAACTGCATGTTAAAAATCAGAGTGCTAAAGAAGCATCTTAAAGAGAAATTATTCATAGATTTATAATACTTATGGCTTGCCACATTTTTCAAGGACAGGATCTTTCTGCATATTCCTTTCCTTTCCTGCTTTTTCTGCAAAATTCTTCATCGCTAAATATTCACCCAGCCAACCCACTTTCATCTGTCTAGGCTCACTCTCAGGCTACATCATGTTGCTGCCAAGCAGCGCACCATTCGTGCTTCACCTCCCATTCGCACTTCTGCCTCATTAGCAGCTTGGCCCTCCAGATCATCCAGTCCCTACCCGTTTCTCAGTTAGTTGTAGAGGAGTTGTCCCAGGAGAAAACCTGCAATATTGTGGTGACTTTGAACACAGAGTTAGTCACAGGTTAAAACAGAAGCATCAGTTTCTCATACTTGTGCAGGCACTTGTGTGTCAGCAGTGTTCCTACTGAAAAATGGTGAGGACCCTCTCTAATTTATGATTTTCCTCCTTTGACAAATACGAAACTAGTAGGATGGAATATGGCCCCTAGTATGCTCTAATAACATAAAAAAAAAACTTGCAAATAGGAGCCAGTGTGTATACAGATGTTCTTCTTGATTAAAATAAAGCCTTCTCTGTTTACATCACGCTAGGAAGCTGCATTACAAGAAAGATGAGAGGGTAAAATAAGAAATGTGACCTGAAAGAAACTGTCAGATTAGACTGACAGATGAAGGCCAAATACTGGTGTCCTTGAAGTTGATGGGATTTTTGCCTCTGAGAAAGTAGCCAAAAGACAGTAGCACCCTGTGTCTCTTTTAGGGTTTACAGTCCTGCACTACAGTCAGACATCCCGCAAGGAGGTCTCTGCCACAGGGTAAAAGAGCATAACAAAGGTGTGCTGCCTGTCCATGTTAGCCTGCCTGAGCTGTCAGCTCACAGCATTTGTTTATTGCACTTCAATTTTCCTGTCCAGTAATGCTTCTCTAGAAATGAGCTTTGACTAATTTTTGACTAATGCAGGGAGAAATGGTGGGATCATTTCCTGTTCCTTAGAACAGTTGTAATTTTGCCCTTACAAGCAACAGGGTATTTGAAGACGTCTTTCTTCTTCCAGGTTACCAGTCTGTCCTGCCAAACCAGCAGCAGGGTTTCCAGGGTCTCATGGGAATGCAGCAGCCGCCCCAAAGCCAGAACCTGATGAATAATCAACAGGGAAATCAGGTGCAAGGCATGATGGTGCAGTATCCAGCCATGTCGTCTTATCAGGTATTTAGGAACCCTAAGGAAAGACTGCTTTTCTTGGAGAGTGCTTAATTGAATTAAGTTTTTGTATCACACAATGGTCATATAGCTTCATTTGGACAGTGTGTGGCAGGAGGCCTCCTGATGAATATGTCCTAAATCAAATCAGTTTCTCTGCTTCCTGTTTACATAGTCTTAGTATTCCTGATTTTAATTCTGAATTGGGAATACTTCAAATGAACTATTTATTACAGCTTGCACTGAGAGTAAAATGTCACAAAAAATGAAGGAATTAGACTTCTTCCTGTGAAGAAAGTTAATTAAATAAATATAAGAACATTGTGTATTTCTTCTTTTTTTTTTTTTTTTTTTGCCAGTACAGTACTGTTTCCTGTAATGAAGTTGAGGGCTGATCAAGTTAAAAATTACTCATCTGTGGAGACTCCTGCCAAGGATCTCACCATGTCTTCTATAACAAGCTGTAGCCAGATGGATTATTGTTTATTGGGTTCTGGGGAGAGGGAAAGCAGTGTCTTGATTTTTACCAGATCTGTAAGTTCCCAGACTTATTTCCCCACCTTATACCTAGTTTCTGTGAGATATGCCAAGAGCATGTGAGAGGTGGCCTGTGCTTACATTTCTTACTGGTTCCTCTGGAAAGTTAAGAAACTAAATGACATCTAACATTTTAATAGATTGCACTGATTGAGCAGCCATTCCACTTTTCCCTTGGCTTCTCTGAAAACACTACAGCAACCCAGATGGAAATGGGGGAATTACTTGTGGGTAAAATTTTCCCCTTTCATCTTCAGAATTACTGTACTGAAAATGTGTTTTAAAGGTTAATGATCAAGATAGGGTTTAGACCTTTTAGATGGCCTAGATATACCAGGGTTGAGTCTTTCATTTGCGTTGATCCCAGAAGTTCACATTCCGCTAGGTCATAACAGAGGCACTTTGCTGACCTAGGAGCAGAGGGAATTCTCTTAAACCCTTCTCTAACAAAAAAATCCTCGAGATGAGAACAGTTCTGAGCAGCACAAAATGACACATTTGGGCAGAACATGTAGTATACTCAAATTCAGCTAGAAGGAACATAGAGATACTGGGAAACTACTTTAATTTGCTTAGTAATTGCTATCTTCTTTTTTTCTACATCTTTCTGTATTCCTACCTAGGTGCCAATGACCCAGGGTTCTCAAGGATTGCCACAACAATCATATCAACAACCGATCATGCTACCTAATCAATCAGGTCAAGGAACACTTACAGCCACTGGAATGCCTGTCTACTGTAATGTCATACCTCCTGCCCCACAGAACAACCTACGGTTGATTGCCCCACACTGCCCCTCCAATAACGTTCCAGTTATTTCTGCCAGCTGCAGGACAAACTGTACGAGCATCAACAATGCAGGGTGGCAGGTCAAGTACTGACACTGTGGCTTAGAGTGGATATATGAGGATAGCGGTGCATTATTTGACAAATAAATCATGGCCTTCAAATGAAGAGGAACACAACAGGATAAACAGTTGAGGGCATAAGTACTGACTATGCTCAAGTGATTTGCTGCTGGAAAAATCTGTAAAAAAAAATAAAAGTAAAATAAATTTTGAAAAAAAAAAAATGTTTGCTGGTTAATGGTGCATATTTTTGTCATGTCTGCTAGGTATGCCTTTATAGCTTAGCTAGTGACATGAATTCATTGAGGTAAGATTTTTTCCTACCACTGAACACCACTGTGTAGATTGTAATATCCCCGATTCGGATTAGTTTTGTACTTTGTGTTGACTTTGTGAAGCTAAAAGTATTTAAAAATATGATAAAAATCACATTGTACCAAAGCTGTAATGGAAATGAAAAAAAAAAAAAAAAGAAAACAAAAAGAGAATTACTGAATGGAAGGAATAATTTATATACACTATAGAGTTTTTTATGGATATATACTGTATTGTAGTGCTTAATCACAATAAAGCTATTTGACCTCATGGAGGAAGGTCATGTTTCTACCACCTGCTTGGTCTCCTCTGTTTCTGAGTGAACTTCCATTTGGTTCTGCATTGTCTTGTTTCAGGTGAAGCTAATGGGGAAATGGTGCTTAAAGGGCTTACAGGAGTTTGATGAGAAGACAACATACCTGTGTCTCAGCATATATACCATAACAGCTAAGACCACTTAGAAATTGTAGCATAGCCACACACGAAGTATTCAGTGAACGATGTACCAGTTCATCTTAAACTGAGTTTACACTTTTCCAATGCCTAGGACAACCAGTAATGTCACAAACACAATTCGTCATTGTTACAAGCTTCTACTAAGTCATGCCTCTCCAAGAGGCCATACAACAGTTGTATGTTAGAAGACATAGTTGTCTCATGATATCCCATCCACTGGATGGAAGATCAGTTGCTACTGATGCAGCAACCACAGTAACCAGCAACGCTGCTGCATAGAAACTCTGCCCATTCATTGGTACTGCAGCTGTAAACCGTTTTGACACAAGATGGCCAAAAACTCTGGTCCATTGTGTTCAAGTAAGTGGGGATGAACAATATATTTGGGGGTTTGGCTTTTAAAACATAGTGGTTTGCCAGAAAGTTTTAGAACTTTTAATTCCAGTGGTGTTTCTCATTACTATGTCCATCTTCACTCAAATTATCTTCTTGTTCTGATTAATTGGTTTTGATTCATAAATGCTGCATTGAGTTCCTCATTTTGATTCCATGATGACAACATCTGAGACACAAATGTGTTTATCAGACAAAAGTTGGTGTTGTTTTTCACTTAAACTGCATTTTTGATAAATTTTGAACACTTTTACAATAGGTAAGAGTTGAACACTCCAGAATAAGGCATATGCATTATGAAAAAACCCGAGATCCTTTTGTGTGTAAAAACTGTATGCATTATAATACAATTGTAGGTCCACTCAAGATTACAGCAGCCTACAAGGCCCTGGACCATAGTTAATCTGAATGTGAAAGAGCTTTTATTTTACATTTAAGATAGCTGACCTTTTCTTTACTTTCTACTTCAGCTGTGGAAACAAGCACTGGAGGGGCTACTTCCCATATTTAAAACAAACATTTTTCTTTTCTATACAATGAACAGATATCTTTCAGACTTCAGTCTTTTTTTACGTGTGTGTCTTAAAGTGTGGAATCCAGTCCTGTGGGATCATAAGAAAGGCAAACACTGAATTTTATGTAGTGTAATCATGATTCATTTGCTGAGAGACAGTCAAGAGCATGAGCAGTTAAGTAAACACAATTCACTCTTCAATTAGAGGTGAAATACCTTGGGAGAGTCTGCTGATTGATTTTTTTTTTCCTTTTTTTTAAATCAAGATACTGCATTTGAATTTTGCCTGTGACCCTGAGCTCTCATTTCAGATGCTCTGCATTGTATGGCTTATTTCTTTTTAGTGTTTTATATACTACACAGGTTTCTCTCCTAGCATTACTATAATTACACATAATTGGATTTGCTGCTGCAGAACAACTGACAGCTGAATGAATGGGTGTCCTTCTCTGTCAAGACTCCACAGTCCAGCAGGAAGGACCTACCTGCAGGTGACCTTGAGCAGGACAGATCTGTGTGTGCCCAGGCTGAACAAGAGGGGAGGGAGGAGGAATCTCTGTGCACCCAGTGTCTGGAGTGAAGAGATGCTTTGGTTGTCACTATGTTTAAGTCCTATTTCTTCTCCGAAACGCTATTGTTACCTTACTAATCTTCCCACTTGTCAGGGAACAATGAATGAATTGCCTAGTAAAAAAAAATTTGCTCTCAGCATCATAGATTGATGGCAAGCTGGGCTATAGATGATCTCAGTAGAGATGGGCAAGAGAGTCAAAAAGGAAAGCCTAGGAATCCTGCTTCTGTAAAGACAGAATTTCCTCATGTCTTTATTCCACTTTTGGTCATGTCCCCTTAGCAGCAGCCTGACCATGGCCATGCTTTCCCACAGTTTACCTGTCTAAGCTAGTACAATGACCAGCTGGTATAAAACATGTACTTAGTTGTGGGAGCAGGGATTCTGCTGGCTGACTTCTCTCAGCCTTGTGACAGCAGCACCTACCTGAACATTAAGGTACATTCCTGCTGAAATGAGACTTTAGCTTTTTATGTAAACTTGAGCAGTTTCAGGAGGAGGTCACAGCCACCCACCCCAAAATGTCTTACATCCTCTGATTGTCTCACTCTCCAAAGAGTTTGAATCTCCTTAGGCATATGAGGAAACTGAAACTGTTCTCCCTCAGCTATGGAGAATGCCCTAATTATTACAGTATCATATACATGGGGGAGACATCTCACGTGGTGGTGCACATATTTGTTTTATGCTGGAAGAACTTGCATTTGAAGACAAGTAATTTTTTTTTCTGTATTAAGTGAAGTACAAAAATTATCCTCTAATTTTATATTTTAATAATAAGATTTTTTAATATCTTATGATATTAATTAAACTTTTTGTTCATTAATAAAACTAGTTTGAGCTGGATTGCTTAGCACCCTTCTGCTATTAAAACAGAGATGTTTCAGCATTGTCAGAAGAGGAAGAGGAGGAAAAAAGAAATGACCTGCAAATACATGTAACAAAAATAGGTAGGTGAAGCTCAACATTTTTTTCTCAGTCCTTTGAAATATTTATAGGTAATCTCCATAAGACGGGTGCTGTTAGATTCACCTGGCCAAATGTAGTTCAAGCAACTTATCAATTGGTCACCATGAGTTCAGAGTCCAGCTCCAGTGAAATTATTTACAGGACATACACTTCTCCTGTGGGGATGCTCTGTCACTGTGGGCTTATTTTTCGCTAGTCTTCCTTTGGAAATTGGCAGACTCAGGCATCTACTCTGTGGCACCCCTGTTGTGGTGCTAGAGACTGTTTGTTGCATTTTCCCTTTGCCTACTGCATCCTTTCCTGGTTAATTGTGTATTGCTTTCTCCTCCTTTTTATATTCTACAGCTTATGGAAAGCTCTCCCAAGGCCCCATACATATTTAATTTGCCACTTTTTTTTGTAAATTTATATTGCACTGAGAAACCAAAGAGGCATATCCTGAATTAAGCTGACTGCATTAGATGACACTGATCAGCCTTTTGGATGGGTCTAATTCATTTGGGCTGTCATTTGCAGAGGCTGTGCATACTAACAGAAGCCAGATACCATTTGCTCTTGCTTTGCCCTTTGTGCTGCCCAAAAAGTCAATGTTTTTCTCCTAGAACTGTATTATCTTACATTTCTGTTTAACTCTGTGTGAAAAATTTCCTGTACTGAAGGAAGACTGCATGAATTATCCCAGCAGCAAGGAATGGAAATATGCAGGGAGGTTGTAGAATGCCCAGAGCATCTTGTTCTCCACCCCCTTAGCTGTAGCAAGGGGACCCTCCCTGACATGACCATTGAGTGCTTCAATATGATTGTTTCATTTGTGTTCCCAAAATGTGCACAGGTCAGTGTCTTTTCAGCCCCTACATTTGTTAAGCTGTGGCCTGTGTTGCCCCTTTGGGCTAATTATAGAGAAACCAGTTTCCCTCCCTTAATGTTCAGTGGAGAGGCTCTGATGGAGGGTGCTGCCCAGACAGGGCTTGGAGTTTTGGAGTATTGTCTCTCAGAGCTCCTCTTGATAGGTAAGGGAGAGGGAAACTTGTTCCCTCAGTCTTCAGAATTATACAACTCATGCTTAGCCCAGAGACTGTGCTTCAGAAATGCTCACAGCTTCCACGCCTGCTTAGCTCATATTGTCTAAAATCATGTTGCTGCTGTAGGGCATTACCATCTAGTCTTGGGCAGTGGCCAGCTTAGAGCAAACGTTGAGGCAGTCTCGACTGGTGTTTCAACTGCAATCCTACGAGCCTCAAGAAGATTGTAGCAAGGTGGGAGTCGGTATCTTTTCCAAGGTGACAATTACAGGACAAGAGGAAATGTTCTCAATGCACCAGGGAGGGTTTAGATTGGATATCGGGAAAAATTTCTTCACTGAAAGGGTGCTCAGGCAATAGAATAGGCTGCCCAGGGAAGTGAGGAAGTCACCATGCTTAAAGTGTTCAAAAGATGTATGGATGTGGCACTTGGAGACATGGTTTAGTGATGAACACTTTGCCACTAGGTTAATGGTTGGACTCAGTGATCTTAGAGGTCTTTTCAAGCCTTAATGATTCTATGATTCATATCTATGTAGCAGGATATAGAAATGCCTTGAACGTTTTGGATGAGAAGGCTCACTGCATGCACATTGCCTGCACCTACCACAGTGCGGATGATGCAGCAGTTTGGGGGATGCCCACTTCCCAAAACAGGGCTAAAGGTGGCCATTTCTAATTGAATTTCTGCCCATGGTTTGTTTTAAGAATCGGCTGTCTTCCTTGCTGGTTCCTTTCATTCTTCAGAAGAGTGGCTATAAAGAGCCTTTGAGGCAGTGGACTAATGGTTAAATATTTAATGCCACACAGTGTTTCTGAGGATGGTTGGCCCTGCATTCAGTGATTGGCATGAACTATTGCTGTACTGCTTTGTTTTGCAGACCTTGGCTTACACACTGCTGAAAACACAACTTTCCAGTGCACATCAGAGGTGGGCATCAAACCCCACTCTTCTGGCTCCTTTTACAATATCCCACCAACTGTGGAAGGAGATGACTCCTCATTATCTCTCCTGATATAAGGACAAGGGGACATAAGAGAAATTTTGCCTATTAAACCAGCAGTCTCCAAACAAAGGAAACATAAGAGGAGCTCTTTTCCCCCCATTGAATATATAGACAACCTGTGGCATTCCTTGCCGCAGGATGTAGGTGCCATTTCTGAAATAAGTGAACATGGTTAGAGAAGAATTTTGTACTGAAAGCTGCTAAATACAGCCAGACGGTGTTTAGTCCACAGAGGCAGAAAACAGCCTGAAGAAATGTCACCATATCATTCCCTCATCTATAAAGCCTTTCCCCAGAAACTATTAGAGATAAATATTGGACTGGGAGTGAACATCTGACCTGATAAAATATGCAGTTCCATA